AACAGAGAGGAGAGAGAGAGAGAGAGAGAGAGAGAGAGAGAGAGAGAGAGAGAGAGAGAGAGAGAAAGAAGAGGAGAGAAGAGAAAAGAAGGCAGGAAGGAACCAAAAGGGCCAAAACATTTTTTTTTAGTTGAGTGCTGAGTTCTCCCATTTACTACTAGGACCAAACAGGGTATAAGCATTGTGTGTGTGTGTTTCTCGTCTAACTGGCTTAAGAAAGAGTGAGAGAGAATCCTAGTGCCTAGTTTTATAGACTTATAGACTGAAGAAGCCACCCTGTCACTCTTAAATATAATATGCTACAATAACATCTATAATACCCTATATCTGGCAATGTGTTGTGTTTTTATGTTTTCAAATAGTAGGCACTCCAGTGGTGAAAGGATGGTGGTGCCCAAGTGTTTGGGGATGAGGGCAGGCAGCCAGAGGAGACCCTAAAGGAAGAGGCCTGCCAGCGAGGGAAAGGAGGATGAGAAGGGGGTGCTGGAGCCTGTAGTGACCTCCTCTCTGTGTGTTGCTTTCTTACAGGGAGGAACTGGCCATGAGGCTGGACTTGACTGAGGCCCGAGTCCAGGTGAGCTGCACCAGAGAGAGGGAGGAAGTGGGGGAGGTGGGCTGGGGGCAAGAGTGGGAGAGAGATGGGTTGATGGATTAGGGGGCAGTGGAGACCCCCTTTATTAAATGAAGAGCAGAATCAGAGAAATAGACCCAAACATTCACACACACACAAAGATATTAAAATATGAAGACCCGGGAGAGTGGAGGGGAAGATTTCTGGGCTTGGGAGCCTTGGAGAAGGTGTCTGGGATCAGAATCCTGAAGTTCAGGAAACCCCTGGTCCACAGCCCCAGTAGGAACCAATCTTTGGACTGACTTCTCCTGATTGAAATAATGGGATGGAGCATGGATTTGGTTGTTAGACAAATCCGCTCAGCTCCAAGCAGGTATTTGGCTGCGATTAAGTCTCCAATCGGGCTTCATAAAAGCCCACTTAGTGCTAGAACAAACAGGGCCATTTGAAGGCAAAATGCTGTTTGATTTCCCCTCTGCCCGCACAAGGAGCTGGCTAATGCTATTTGATTTCCCATTTTTTATAGCAATGAGCCTACATTGATCTAATAGGGAGTGAGTGCAATGCTATTAAAGGTGTTTGCAGCCCCATACCAGAGTGCATTTCCGAACCCAGGCCTCATAACCAAAGAGACGATCAACACTGGGCAGCCCCGATGGCCAACAGAAAACAGATGTCCCTGAGTTAGGAGCTGAGTGAATCACTTTACAGTCAAAATCAAGCGCTGATAAAGCACAATAAATTCCATATGGCTCATTTAATACACAACAGCTTCTTGCATTAGAGGGCTAATGATGAGGTTTGTCCCCTCCTTTCTGTTGACACATTTCTCCATTGTCAAACAGAGATGTGACAGCAACTCCGTATTTTCAGCTCAGGGGAACGAGTCGTGGGAAAGTTAAATAACTTTTTAAAAGAAAGAGAGCGCCCCCTCCCCTTCTCCTCTCTCCCTATTCACTGGAGAAGATGTAATTAAGTGAATATGAATTATTAGAGTCCTTTTGTTTACCTTTGGGGGGCCTCAGAGGTATTAATTCAATAATGAGGAATTGCAGGAGGACATCTTGATAATTGCAGTTGAGCTGGGCGAGACGATCCGTCTGTAAAAGGTTTCCACGTTCTTTGAGGGCACTCTGCCCCCACTGCCCCCCCTTACTCCTTTCACTGACCTCCAGGAGTGGCGGATATTCTCGTCTAGACAGATTTGGGTACACAAAAGCTGCCCACCCAGCCTGGTCCCATCTAGTCTTACTTTTTCAAGCCTCTAGATTTCCACACTAGAGTGTTTCTGTAATTCACAGATAGATTATTTGAGGGCTGTGGAATGTTATGGATGGGCCTCTTTTCACTAGAATTTTAAGTAATCAACTGATTTGGATTCTCGATTTTTCTTGCCCTGGGTGGCTGTCTAGAAGTCAAGCCAAGCTTATATATACTAGTGCTAGTAACAACCCCCAGTGTGTATATTTGAAAGACATGGATGTCTTTAAAACATTTTTAAAACATATTCCTCTGGGATCATTTACATTATATTTTAATATAACTCTGTATAGCCCTGGAGTTCATTCTTAATTTTTAGACTTGTGTGCAGGCATAAACCCAGCCCTAAAAATATTAATGCCTTCAGGGGAGAAGTAGCATATCTTAGCTGTGGGTGTGATGAGCAGGTCACATAAAAATAATTTCATGCTCTTGGGAGTTATTTTTAGACTATGGTAGCTGCCACATTTCAGGTAAAGGTCTCTACTAAAGCTGCTTTCTATTAACAATTAGGAAGATACTTTGTGCTGGAAACCTCCCCCAAGCCTAGAACTATCTTAGTTAAATAACCTATTTAAACCACATCCCCAGAAGAAATAACAGACCTATTGGCTCTGAAGCTGTGGAAAGTTGACAGGTATCCTGCACTTTGACTTCTATGTATCCAGGTATTGCTGTATACCTGGCGTGCAGAGTCAGCACCTTCCTGCGCAGAACTGGGCTCTGCATAGATAGAGCCTCTGCAGATAGCAGACTGTGTGCCCCATATTTTAGTTCATGGAGAACAGACCCTTAAAATGTATGCTTGTTTGGGAATTACCATGGGCATTTCTTCCCTCCCTTCCCAGCTCTCCCCAAACCCCAGAGCCCAGCCCAGTATTCTAGGTGTTCAATAAATATTTTTGGAAAGAAGAAATGAACCGCCTCCCAATTCCCTTTTTAACACAGAGCAGGGATTTTGCCAGCTCTTGGGTAAACCTGAAGTAGGCGAAAATAGTTGATGTGCAGCAAAAAGCTGATATGCCTTCTCTCTGAATAGGAACTTCCACATGCCTCAATTTTACTCCTTCCTCAGAACAGCCTTATGAGTACAGTTTTATTACTCCCATTTTACAGATTAGAAAACTGAGGCTGAAAGAGGTTTAAGTGACCTGCCTAAAGACGCACAGCAAGCAAATGGCAGCACAGACACTTAAACCTTGGTTTCCCCATCTCTAAATACGGGAACCACTCTCCTTAAACTTGGAGAGAACTAGGCTGCTTGCAATACCCACTGGAAAGGGTTTGCTTGGCCCGTGTTTCCTGCTGTCTTTATGTTTGAGCTCCTCGTCGACGCCCCGATTGGCCCCGGAGGTGTCCTTGAACAACCTGAGGCCAAAAAGGAGCAACGTGGGCGCAGTCCGCAGTGGAAAGGTGGAAGGGCCAGCAGTGCCTGGGAGAGGCGGGGGCGCGTCCGGAGCGCCCCATCTGGCCAGGAGCAGTGCTGACCCCGGGCTCTCTCCGCCCTGCAGGTCTGGTTCCAGAACCGTCGGGCGAAGTGGCGCAAACGAGAGAAGGCGGGCGCGCAAACCCATCCTCCGGGGCTGCCCTTCCCGGGGCCGCTGTCGGCCACCCACCCGCTCAGCCCCTACTTGGACGCCAGCCCTTTCCCTCCGCACCACCCCGCACTCGACTCGGCCTGGACAGCAGCTGCTGCCGCTGCTGCCGCAGCCTTCCCGAGCCTACCTCCGCCTCCGGGCTCGGCCAGCCTGCCGCCCAGCGGGGCGCCGCTGGGGCTGAGCACTTTCCTCGGAGCCGCCGTGTTCCGGCACCCGGCCTTCATCAGCCCTGCGTTCGGCAGGTAACACGCGGCCTCGGGGAGTCTGTCTGTCTGTCTGTCTGTCTGTCTGTCTGTCTGTCTGGCACACGCACGCGCACACAGCCTGGAGTCAGGGAGGAGGCCGGGGACAGGCAGAGGCTACACACATCTTTTCTCTTTGGCCTGACCTCAGAGATTTAGCCAAAGAAAATACTTCTTAATTTTGCTTCAAACAATGTAGATCTTGAAGGGAATGACGAGATTGAGCGGCAAAGGGGAGGGCAATAGCAGTAACAACAACCGTGACAATTTTGAGTGTTCAATGAAAGCTGTAAAAGTACCATTTGAAGGTGGCAGCAGCGTAAGCCATAGGTGATATGTGTGTAAACGTGTACAGGTTTAGGCTACAGAGCCGGGGTGACTTGGCAAGTTTTGCAGAAATCCTTCTTCATGCCCCAAAGCCTGGCAATCAGGGTAACACAGCCCTGGTCCCCACAGGAGCCCTGGAGCGAGGGACCCTCTGGGTGCAAAAAATTCTTTCTTCTTCCCCAGACTCTATCTACCTTGTCAATCAAGTGACCCGCTGCCAACCATACCCCCGTATGTGCAACCCCGATTCCAACAAGGCACAAGACAACGAAATAAAAGAAACAGTTCGTCGTATGTTATAACTCCCTTTCTTTAAATGAACATCGAATGATGAAATAAAAAGTCTGTATAATCACACAGACAAAGAAACAAAGGAGGGATGTATTAAGTTGGAAAGTGCAGTGAAAATAAAACTGAATGCAGCTTCAATGATCTCTCTTTGGGAGAACAAAGAAATAATAGATTCATCCAACTGCGCAGCCATTTAAAAATCATGTTAGAGAAAATTTTCAAAAAAGACTAAAATTAGTTTCTTGTAATAAACTAATAAAATAAACAGTGAGTGCTTTGAAGTGTAGTTAGTGACTCAGTTTACCTAGTGGAACCAGGGCATGTTACGCCACCTCCAGGCCACACGTTTTTCTTTCTGGGAAAAAAAAAATTAAGTCCTGTGTCTCTCGGCCCCCCCCCCGCCGCCCCCTTTTCCCTTCTGACAACTCAAGACTTGTAAAAGTCGGCAAACCATGGCTAGAGTACTGGACTGCAAGGTTCGGAAAGTCTGGAAGAGGGGGGCGGTGGGGGAAGCATGAGGGGTGGAGAAGCACGAGGCACTCCTCCAGCCCTGGTAGGCTCATTTCTAATCGCAGAAACCCCAAGTTGGCCCTACAGGACCAGGAGCCCTGGGGAGAAAGAAGCATCTGGGATAGGGGTGGTGGTGTCCCATGGCCAGTGGCAGCTCGGGCCTCAGCTGCATAACCGAAGTCCTGTGCGAAGTGGGTGGAGGCGCCACCAGGAGCAATCCTGGCGCTGCCCAGAGGCGATGGCGCGGAGTGGGACTCCAAGCTTGTGCATCGCGGTGCGCTGCACGCGGAGGTTCCGGGTCCAGCGGTTCTCTGGGGCAAGAGGCTGCAGGGGCACTGGGAACGTGGCCCGGGAAGGTTGTCGCCGCGCGGTACGCAGGGACACTGGCAGGGCAAAGCTTTCTTTGGAGTGGAAATCAACAGGCGGGCGCCCCCCACCCCGACCTCGCGGTCACTGGCTGGGAACTGGCATCTCAGCCTGGCGCGAGAGGGCGGCCATGAAGGCAGGAAGGCGGGCAAACGAGGCCGGCTTTTACAGGGCAAAGGGCCGAGAAGCCGCCCTAGAGAGAGTACAAAGTTTGCAGCACAGGTCTTGATCAGTTTTGATCCCACCTTTTCTCCCTTTCTTTTTTTTCTCCTCCCTCTCTCTTCTCCTTTTTTCTTTCTCCTGGCAAATAGTATTGCAGGCAATCGGAGCTCCTGGTCTGGGAATACGCCCCTTTCCTAGGCAAAACCACAGAATCCGCACAATTGGGTCGTGGGATTTTGGGCCCCGAGGCCTGCCTCGGGCCCAGGCTCTGGTACCTCCGGGAATATCTGGCCCCTTGGTCTTTTTTCTCCATCGGTTCCCTGCTGTAGTAAAGCCCTCTTACAGCGCCCAGCCTCCCGCCAGCGCCCCCACTTACATCCCAGCCCACGGTCCACCCTGGGACTGTGACTCCGCGCACCTGTGGCGGCGCCCCTCTGCTCTCCTCGTGAGAGGCGGTGGGAAACGCTACCCGAAACGGCCGCGCTCAGCTCTCGAGGCCATGACCGCGCTGTTTGCTCTCCTTGCAGGCTCTTTTCCACAATGGCCCCCCTGACCAGCGCGTCGACCGCGGCCGCGCTCCTGAGACAGCCCACGCCGGCCGTGGAGGGCGCGGTGGCGTCTGGCGCGCTGGCTGACCCGGCCACGGCGGCTGCAGACCGACGCGCCTCTAGCATAGCTGCACTGAGGCTCAAGGCCAAGGAGCACGCCGCGCAGCTCACGCAGCTCAACATCCTGCCGGGCACCAGCACGGGCAAGGAGGTGTGCTAAAGGCTGCCGGGCACCCTCGCGCCCCGGGCGCCCCCCGAAAGGTCACCTCACTCAGCACCACTCAAGACCAAATGGAAACAGAGGACCAGCACACTCCCAAGACGGCACTGAGAGAGCGCAGCCGCTTTCGCAGCAGCCTGGATGCGGGCAAGACGGCCCTGGGCGCTACGGGACAGGGCACCTCCTTGGCTGACTGTCCACCCGCCCCGTCCCTGCTCCCGCCCTCGCCCCAGCCCCAGCCCCTGCCCCTGCCACTGCCAACCTCGCTCCAACTCCTACGTCCACTTTCTCCCGTTCTTACGTTATTGAAAACATCGGGGACGTTTTCTCCCCAAGACGCCTGGTATTGAAGTTAAAAAATTTTAAAGCCCAACCTTTCTTCCTCCTGACATCCCACTTAGCTTTTTTTTTTAAATAGCATTTTGGCGTGGGCTCCAGCGTGAAGCCAGGGCCAGGGAAGCGAATGCGAATCTGTAAGATAGCTAACAGTGCACTTAAAGGAAAGGGGCGTCTTGTTCTTGTTCTCTTCTTTATCATACACCAACCAAGGTTTTTATATCAAACCAAAGGGAAATACTCTGCTAGAATATGGACTGTTGAAGTCACCAAACTGTGATTATTGATTCTGTATATACCATTGTTATTAAAAAAAGAACAGAGCTTTGTATATTTGAAATGTTATAACGCAATTGCACTCAGCGTGGTATGGTAAAAGTTTGTCCTCCTGTAGAGTCTTACTGTGTTGTAGATACGGTAGGGTTCCTAGACAAATATTTATGTACTCAAGCCCTTTATTTAACTTATTAACTGTAGAGGCTTCTGAAACCTTCAAGATAAAGGCAATGGTACAGTACTTTTGTGTAATGTGTAATTGTCATCACTTTTCCTTGCTATCTAGTGGAAAAGTGTCACCGCTCAAAATAAAAAAAAATTATATGTTTAACAAAAGGAAGTGTGAATGCTCTGTGCAGGCGCTGAGGGGATAGAAGGGGGCCCCCCAGAGGCCAGGGGTGGGCTCGGGCGCCCCAGCACCTCCTGGGTTTATCTGCACTCGAGTTTTCCTGGCAGAGGCCCCGGTTTGAATCCGATCCTCACAGGGATCCGAGTTTCCTACAAAGGCTAAGGACCCCGCCGAGGTGGTTTCCACACGCTTCTTGGCTCCCCCCGGGTCGTGTCGCAGAGGGAGCTGGGGCTCCTGGGCCACGGAGGTGGGGTGGGCTGGAGGATGGGTGGGTGCGCGGTAGGCGTTGTTGACAGTGAAGACAAATTTGAAGCGAGCGGGAGTCTGGGCTCGAAAGGAGAAGGAAGCTGCTTGTGGGAAGTGCCACGTAGCAAGGAAGTGTGCAGTCCAAGATGACAGGTAATGGCGAGAAACCGAGGCACTGGCTTCCTAGGGGGCGGGCTCCACGGTACATTCACGGGGAGGGGGGGAGTGTGTGTGTGTGTGTGAGAAAGAAGAGAGAGAGAGAGAGATAACGAGGGAACGGTGATGGAAAGGCAGCGAGAAGATCCAAGTGGCAGATCTTAACTCGACAAATGTCATTACATCACTTATCCAGGCATTGGGAAATGTATACATTAAAAAAAATCTAAACAACTCAGATTTCGAGAGGGGACCCCGACAGATTTGCGATCTGTAACCCCCTCGGTGCACCCCTCCCCGCGATGGAACTGGAGCGTCTCCCTCCTCCGGTCCCTGGCAGCGCCCCGCCGGGTGACCGCTCAGTGTAAGCCCGCCCGCGGGGGCCGGGTCTCGCCAACGCTGCCAGGGTGATGGGAAAGGGAAGAGAAGCTTAATTAGTTTCAATTTGCAGTAATTAGCGCGCTGGACCTTTGGGGAGAGGG